CTACCTGCTATGTTTTCCTGCATGGTCCCCACATTAAACCATCAGTTAGGAACTGGCAGTCCAGCTAACAATCATAACATTTGAATTCAATTTGGCTTTTCTTGATTATCAAACTTGTGAATTTGCTGCAAATGCAAAACCTTCATGCAATTGAGTTCATTCTCATCTTACTATTGCTTTAGCAAATGTTGATTAAACTCTGCTATTAGCTTGCAGGATTCTGGCATCTATTACTCTACAGGTAGAAGGAAAATAGAGAGAGCCTGATTCAACACAAATACAAGCGACTTCATAAGCAAAAGTAACAGCCTCCAGCTCCAGCCATCTCTATGCAAAAATCAAATCTTTACATTAACCGACTAGAAATTTTGCATTGCCTCAAAAGACCATCAGGAACAGAATTTCTTTTGTGTATGCATTTGGCATTTTTTGTGTCCAATATGACCTTATGAGGCACAAAATTAAAATAAATAAATAAAATGAAAATGTTAAAGTACAGTTAAGCAACATAACTTGCTGGTGATCTGGTCTTTTACACTTGGCTCTGTAGGACAATAAACTCTAAAATCATTACACCTCATCACCAAGGTTTAGAGTTGGTACTCTGTCTCCGATGGCTCCATTCCTTGACTTGTCTCCTTCCTCGTTGTCAGTCATTTTATTGTGCATGCAAGGATGGCTGTTCTCCATCTTATGAAGAAACAAGATTAGCTACCAATTTTCCAAAGTTTACATAATTCAGAAGAAGGTTAATTCTCTGCAGAAATATTGAGACTAGGGATAGTGCCCCAAATATGATACCTCACAAACAGCCTTTAAGTTTCTTATCCAAGTTCAGATAGTCTTTTACAACGAAGTATTAACTGCTGCTGTCTATAGTTCATGCTTCACAAATATTTTTAGCAGTAAATTTATTTTTCCAACACGGCTTTTCTTCACATGTACATTGCAAAAAGTGCTCATTTTTGGACAGCCTAATGGATTCCCCATCCCAACCCTTACAAAAAGGCCCCAAACAAATAATGGCACAGCAAAAGGACATTCTATTGGAAGAAAATTTTATGCATTTTATCCTTTCCCAAGCCAAAGAAAATAAATAAATAAGTTCAATTAGTCATTTACAATGTTAGGCTTGCCAAAGATGCCATAAACAATATCAATGCGAAAGGTACTGCTATATACAAATGCATTTATTACCAGTTTCATCATCAGATGCATCGGCAAGCCCTGCAAGTGCATCAATGAGTGCCAGCTCATGCTCCTGCATGAGACATCCTGGTTAAGCGTGCACTGAGTGATGGGAAGAGAGAAATTTAGGCAGCATGAATCAATAGTCTTACTTTCAATTTCTTCCTTGCCTTCTCAAGCTCAAGTGGATCCAGATGGCATGCATCAAAAACCTTCTCCATCCGTTAAAAAAAGATATAGATAACTGATCTTGGATTTATGAACTAGCTAAATGGGAATATTACAAATCTGTTCAAGCCCTCCAATAAATACCTCCTTCACTAGTGTCTGTGTGTCATGTAATTCAATATCCTCAGAAGCCTTCTTAGGAACTCCATACTGTGATGGCATATATTCTTTTGCACATCCTTGCTTCTTCCAGCACCAAGAGCAGGAGCAAAATGACTGGATTGTTTCTTAACTCCATGGCCTCGATAAGATATGCTTGGAACCTCACCATCCCATTGTATGTCCTCTGGCGGGATCTGCAATCAGAAGAATGTTGGTAACATTCCCTTTAAAATCTTAATTTCTTCTTTTGCAATCAGCAGACAGCTTTTGTGATGGCTTGTCCAAAGGAAACATCTATAACGAAAACAATGATATAGTTACAATGCCATGTAGGATTGTAAGTTTACAATCATGACGTTTCATTAATGAGATACATAAAATATCACACGTGGGTCTCTGAACAAAAAGAGCCAATCATATAATAACACGTCATGATCGTAAGCTTACAATGCCACATCATTTTCACTAATGATAAGACAAGATGTTCTTTGTTATTTGTAAAACCCTTCATCAAATAAAGTAAATAGAATATTTATTTCAGTTGAAAGGCAATCTTGCTAAACAATTAAGACACCCTGTCCCTTTATGTTGACACATACAGTGCATTGTTTAAAATTCATGCACATAAGAAGAAAATATTAGAATGAAGTTCATTAGATTGAAGTTCACAAGGAGTACAAGTCCTAAAATTTCCTTCCAATTCCAGCCACCTTAACAAAGCCAAGGCCTGACTTATTTGAAAAGGGGTTATATAAACATGTCCAAACTTTTATACAAAAGTACATGCAGAATATATCTCAAAACATATTGTAAAATTTTAGCTGTGTAATAGCATTCACCAATAGTAGTGCAAAAGATTTCACTCAAAACAAGATAATAACTACTTACCTCTTTGAGATCAACCCATTCCCAGGTTTCATTTGGACTATTTATATCATAGACCAGAGCATGCCAGCCCTGTATTTAAAAGGAAAAACCAAAATAGAAAGCATCAAACAATTGTTGGTTGAAGTTGGACAAACAAACTGGTACCCTGGATATTTTAGAAAAAGCATGAGAACATATTGCAACATTCTAACATGATTTGGGCCCAAAAAGAATGACAGGTCCTCTTTGTCACTGATTGGAAGTGTAGAACAATACGTACAAATAAGCATGCCTAAAAACTTTAAGGGAAAAAAAAGATTATAGAAGACGTCTTCCTCAAAATCAAGGGATAAAATTGTCAATGGCTTTATAAACCTTTTACATACATCAGCATGGTTGTAATCAGTAATGACAGCCTCATAGAAGTTGTTGTCTTCAGGCCATCTTGTCCACACTTTCCTTCCAACCAGTGGGTGAATGGTAGCTGCATCCGCAGGTTCATTTGCTGAAAGGGAACCATGGTTACTGAACTGCCTATTTCCGGCAGGAACTCCAGAAGGATAACACATGGACTTTGCTGAGGATAAGCCCGGTAATGACTGAATCTGTTAAAGAAAGATTGAAGTAAAATCAATTCAGCAGGAGGCCAATGTAGAATCTTCGCTGCACACCAATAATTAATAAAGAAACCGACTGTGAAGTCTTCTGTTTCTTGCGGGATGCTGAAACACCAGGTTTGGGTAGAAGATCATGAACAGGTTGAGTAGCATTTAGCCTGGCTGCTTGGTTGCCACCTGACCATCTCCAATTCCTGATATCATCACCCAACACATAACATGTTAAACCTAGAAGCAAGAAAACACCACAGGTCAGCAATGACCTTATCCTTAAGCATTAGAACCTTATCCTTTGAAGTTTGAATTATATCATCAGCATTGACCTTGCTCAAAAGTTCTCTGTGTTCATCATCTGACACCCGTAGCTCTTTCCTAAGCTCTGTTATTAAACCTTCTTTCTCCTGAATGTATGAAATAGAGAGCATTAGAATCACATGATTGCAGGAAAAAAAAAAAAAAAAAAACTGAGAGAAGAACCTAAGTATACATGTCAATGGAGCAGAGTAAATACCCATGTAATGGCATCAGACTGAGCTTTAAAAGCACGCAGGGCAGCACAGTAAGCTTCTTGTTCAAGTTTATGTATTTGGCCCTCCATTTCAGATTACATCTTAAAGTATGGGGTCGAACCGAACCTACAACAGAACCTCCATTCCCAGAAACATAGCCCCCTCCTATATTTTGATGTGATGGAGGGACATCATCATCAGTACCTGTCATTATTTCGGACAAATAATACATAATTACAAGGTAAAGAGCGCCAAGGATATGAACTACTACTCTTCACAATGCTCTCACTTGCAAGTTTACTGGAAATGATAAAATAAGCAGACAAAGCA